TGAATACAATCATTGATGAATTATCAAGGTATAAGAATGCAGAAGGGATTTTTGGTAATAACATGGCTATTTGGCAGAGAAAGATAAAAGCACCGGGTAAATATTCATATATAGTCAATTAATATATGTGTCTAGTTGTTTTAATAATTGCTATCTTTATTTATTCAACCAGGCAGTTTCCAGGTGAAATGATCAAAACTGTCAAAATACAAGACCCAGTCAGCAGCTTGGTCAATGGTTTTTGTCCTCTGCGTCAATGATGGTTTGCAAACACTGATTGTGACCACTGAAAAGGGAATAATGCCTTGAACACTTTTATCATTGATGTATTGAAGATTTTATCAATCATGAATCTTAAACTCATCTGAAGTTTAAGAATAATTAATAAATTAGCAACTAACTTTGAAGGATGGAAATTTCTCTTGCATATTGCATTTCTTATTATCGGACGTTACTTTTTCCTTCCAAAGAAAGAAAAAATATTCATTACTAGTCTCTTGCCCTTGCAGACTTCAATCCTGTTGATATGGAAGATCCAAAACTTTCCTGGGTCAAGTGGCAAGATGGCAATTCACAGGCTCCAGTTAAAGAACATGAGCATTTTACCATTAGTAAGCTTATAACATATATAGGTTTTCACCATTACCTCACTGATGTTTTATGCTCTTCACCTTTAGGATGATGATGCGCCAGAGAAACTGCATGATCCAAATGATATACTTGATATCTTGTCTGGGATCTTGCACCTTACTGGTGATTCTTTAGTTCCCAAATCTATCAATAAAGATTGCCTTGAAGATGCCAGGGTTCTCCTACAACTGGACAAAAAATTTATCCCTGTCATAGCAGGTGGAACACTAGCTATCATTGACCAGGTGGGCTTTTTTATTTTTTGATGGGCATTGACCAGGTTGGCTTTCTGCTTTACTTTATAGTAGCTGTTTCCTGATCTTAGCATGCCTTCTCTGCTGCTACAGAACCTCTGTTTTTTTTTACTTTTTAATTGTATGACTTAGAGTTTGTGATCAGATGTGTAAAAGATTTCAAGTGGGATTTGTTTTATTTTGTTATTTAACGACTGGAAGAAGGAGAGGTCCATGGTCCCCAAAAATCTCAAAATATCCACTTATGGTCCTATATGTCTATGTAACAGTATCCTTCCAATGGAAATTTATGTACCCCACCTTGAATGGTGATGCAAGAATCCCTCCAGTTATACTCTTATGCCTTTTTTGTTCCTAATGCTTTTTTCCCATTTCCAGCTCTTAATTTTCCTAGTTTTTTCAATCAACTTCTAGTCTTAATTAATCTTTTCTGAAAAATTTTAAATTGGGCTTTAGGTTTCTAGATTTTTTTCCTTTATTTTTTTCAACTTTTAATTGTCCTTGCTCCTTGGGTACTTAGATTATTATCAATGTCAATAATATTCTGGAATTGGTTTTATCTAAAATTTTCTCGACTTTTTTTGATAACTGAAACTTTATTGATTTGATAATAAAGGAATCAAATGAATGTGTCACAAATTGAGCTAAGCACTCTTTCTGATTGTTTAGCCCCAGATATCTACCCCCTAACCATTATTATGTCAAAATTCATCCAGTCCATGGACGATTCATCCCCAATACAGTTGGTGTCTATGAACCCCATGTCTAGCTAATGCTTCAACTAGAACATAGGCCAATCATTTTACCCAGGTTTACCTTCTTATGATGTGTCTGTACATCCAAGGGCCTTCAGTCTTGCTTTTAATCCATCCACTACCACCTTGGAGCCCCCCACTGCTAGACTGTTGTAATTTATTACAAGATTATAGGTTGTAATTATAGGCTGTAATTATGGAGTATTAGCCCAATTAGGAATAGCTTGATTATAGGAATTAGATTTTCTTCCTATTTTAGTATCTACAAGGCTGTATATATATGTACTATTTTCTCAGTTGAAGAAGATATCAATTTCTTCCAATTCTTGTTCTTTCACATAATTGAATGACTTTGCCATTCTTAATCCTAGTAACATTTCTATAACAGCTCTAGTGGAGTTACCATAGCCTATAGGTCCAGAGTAGATAGTGTACCCGAGGCCTTGGCTTTCCCATATACATCCCTGTACAAATAATCCTGCTCTAGCTAATCTGTCAGATAGAGTGTTAACCCATCTAGGGATCCACCTGAACAAGCAGTTCAGGCTGCTTTCAACAGATTTGGCTTCCCTAACCAAAGCTCAAAATCTCCAGGGAGGTTATCCTTCTGAAATATGCCTGGAAATAAAAACTTGGTAGTCACCTTCTATTAGTATATTTCTCCACCTGTGTTGTGCAATCAACTTGGGTCCTTGGATTTAAGCCATCAACTTTGCTCTCAAGGAATTGTTGAAACCAACAGCCCCTGCAAAGATCAACAAAATGCTGCCTCTTTCATCCCTTGCCACCTCTCCCTCACCAGATTCACCAGGATTGCCCAAGCGCACCCATCAAAGTTGAATTTCAGTCTGCCAGCTTCATGGGGTTGGCACTTAATCTTTGTGCTCTTCTAATTGACTCTGGCAATAATGTGCCATCCTCTTAACAAATCATCCATATTCACATCTTGGAATTCTTCACATTATCAGAATCAGTGTGCAATTCTCACTTTAATTAGATCAATTAGAGTTCCCACTTCTGGTTGTTTATTTTTAAATATCCTTGCATTTCTCTCCCTCCAAATGCTCCACATTACTGCATCTCATGTAAAATGCCATAGCAGTTGCATTCTTTTGGTATGGCAGCCCATGATATTATTTGCCAAACCCAGAAGACAACAATACTATTTGTGTTTTTATTTTTCTGTTATTTTTCAAATGTTTTATGATTTGATTATCCTAGATCTTTTCTAGACGAACAACTCTTTTGAACTTAAGATCCTAATTCAGTTTTCTGCCTAGATTAAGTTAACAACATCCATAGTTGGAATTTCCTTTTGCCAGCCAGTTGCAAAGCACTAATTGGAAATTGCTAACTTGGATCTTTCTTTTACAGCATGCTGCAGATGAAAGGATCCGACTAGAAGAACTGCGTCGGAAGGTTAGTCTCATCTTTCAAAATTTCTTGCAATTAAACTTACCAATAAAAAAATGTTCTTGCAACTACACACATTGCAACTCATTAAGCTATTTGTGCTCTCAGGTATTGTCTGGTGAAGGAAGAACAGTTGCTTATCTGGATTCTGAGCAAGAGTTGGTATGTACTATGTCTAGATTTGATGCTAACTCTGTTGCACTGACTATTCAACTTTGTATTTATTAACATCTTCTAGGTTCTTAGGTTATTTCATTAGTCATCTCAACCCGTGTTCCTACTTTTCAAATATCAGGTGCTACCTGAGATTGGATATCAGCTACTGCACAACTACACAGAACAGATAAATAATTGGGGTTGGATTTACAATAATCAGGTTTCCGGGTCCTTCACCAAGTAATTTGGATGTTCTTCCATGCCTATTGATTTTTTTTATTGTTCATTGTGTAAATTTTATTGATTATTCTAAAAAAATGTTATGTACAAGAGTTTTTGCCTTTTTTTAGGCTAATCTTCACCACCTAATCCCTTTCCATTGCAAATTTTTTTACAATCGGTTCCCATTAGTAACACCCAAAACATTTATTCCTTAGTAACTCCTCTTATGAGTGAATTGGTAAGAGTGTTAGATGTTCTTGGTACCCATCAACTCTTGCTAAGCTGCTTATTTCTCTTAATATGTGCATATAACACCTAATCCCTTGACTATTTTTCCTTATCCACCCTACAGCAGCTTGAGAATCTCTCTCCACTTCTATGTTGCTCAAATGAAGTCTTTTACTCAGCCTTAACCCTTGCAAGACATTTCTCTTAACATGTGCCTATTATGTTCCCTGCTTTGTTCTTAAGTTTATACCATAGATAATCAATTATTTATGAGATCTGACATGCTTTCTGCCTAGATTGCTTGAGGCTTGTAAATTTTCATTTCGAGGTTCCAAAACCCTGGAGAATCGTAATTGACATCACAACTATCTGTTGTGTACTTTTTAAAACCAATTTTGACCTCTTGTGCAGGAACTTGAATGTGCTAAATAGGCGGACTGCTACTGTCACACTTATTGCGGTGAAAATTCATTAATTTTACATTTTATTTGTATTGATTATTTCTTTTGCAGCTTTCCCGGGCCATGTTTAATTATAATTTAACAAAATCAAATGGACAAAAGTATTTTTAAGGTGTTAAATCATCTCTATAAAATGGACAAAGTTATGGAACTTGATCCAGATACTTGTACATGTTCAAAAATTTTGTACGAGTCAAATTCAGATAAAGCTTCTTGCCTCTTGCATGTTGTTGGATATGTTGTTTACTCTAGTTTGTCTTCTTTTCAACCATCCGTGCAGGTACCTTGCATTTTAGGTGTCAAGTTGTCTGACAAAGACCTTGTAGAATTTCTTGAACAGGTGATTTTTTATGAACTTTTTTTTTTATCTCAGTCATAACTGCCTTATTTTTCAACGTATGTCAATTTATTATTCAATTTTTGCTTTGATCTCTAGCTTGCTGAGACAGATGGATCATCAGCTATGCCACCATCTGTTCTTCGAATCCTTTGTTTTAAAGCATGCAGAGGTAGGCATATAAATTCTTCCTGTTTTCAAATATGCTGCAAATGCTGCAGAAAATCCTTATGCTCAGACTCTCAGCCCGTTCTTTCTTGAAACAATTCATTGAATTTTATGATTAAGGTGCAATCATGTTCGGGGACTCATTGCTACCTTCAGAGTGTTCATTAATTGTTGAAGAACTAAAGCAGACTTCGTTATGCTTTCAGGTAAACGGTTTCATTGTTCTCCCAATAAGCAATGGGAAGTTCAGCTTTTAGATGATTCAAAACCTATACCAAGTATTATGAAATATATCCCTACTACATATTCCCCAAAAGCCTGTAAAGTGGTATATTCAGACTGTTCATTATGAAATATATCCCTACTACGGTGTTCATTATTCTTGTTACTGAATTGCAATTATCAGAGAGTGATTTGGACTTCGAAGTGGTATATTCTGTATCCTTGTATTTATGCCAATGCCAGTATATACAACCAAATAGCCTCCTGGACCACATTTATGTCTCCAAAAGCCCCAAATACCTTCCTTGATCTGACCTAGAAGAGTTGTATTGCAGTGCGCTCATGGGCGGCCAACTACTGCTCCTCTCGTCAACTTGGAGACATTGCATAAGCAGATTTCCCAGCTTCAGTTGTTTCATGGGGGTTCAAATGAGCAGTGGCATGGGTTGCAACGGCATCAACCAAGCCTAGAACGTGCATCACAGCGTTTAAACTCAACCAGAGATAATTTTGGGTGAAGAAATTTTCCCTCCAAATAAAAATAGGTTTAGCAATCTCAAGTTGTATGCTTTTATTGATTTTTAAATGCAGTATAGTTTTCTTTTCTTTTTTGATGTTGCATGTATATAGTTGTTGGTTTGGAATTAATAATATAATAGCGGTTTGACCACCACGTGTCTATCTTGCTGATCTTAGGTTTGTGATGTGCTTCACCGAGTTATAAATAATATCATAACTAGCGGGAACCCATGCATCGCACGAGATTTATTAAGAAAAAGCTAAATAATAAAAAGGGTCATATGTTAAAATACCTCTTATAGTTTCATGGATTTACTAAAACACCACTTATAGTTTGTAATGGATTTAATCAATCTTCCATTAGATGACAATGTTGACCCTAATGTTCATTTAAATAAATTTAATCAAAAGAAAATAAAAATAAAAATTTTAGTAAGACATGGGCAACCACTCTATTGGCTACATTTGTTCAATTTTGTTTTTTATATAAAAAAATGTTAGGGGTATTTTTGGAATAAAAAATGATGGGCTTAAGGGCAAAACAAACACTCCTTAATGAAATCATGGGCCTAAGGCCCCGATCTCGACTCTGAAATTAACCTCCATCCCCGATCCCTAATGGGGATGGGCTCCCCGTGGGGACCTGAATCTTTAAAATGTTTTCAGATAATAGTATTTTTTTAAATAAAAAAAAATTATAAATAATGTTTTAAATATATTTTGATATATATATAATATCAATAATATAATAGTATATTGGATAAAATGAAAGAAGGTAGACTAGATCTCTGCAATTTTCGAACGATGGCACGACGGTGAGAAATATTGATAGCAACTCTCCTGGCAAGTCTGTGAAGATGGGAGATTTTGTGGAGGTAGGCCGTTGGAAAAAAGTTTTAAAGATTGAATCTAAGGAGCTCCTATTTGAGGAACTGAGATTAAATGGTTAGCTAAGCTTGAAAATCAGGGAAGCAAAGAGAGGGATGGTGTTGTTAGAAGGTTTGGGGTAATTGAAGGGTTCAAGGAGTTTGTGGAAGGTGCAAGTAACAAAGGCAAACAAAATAGTTGGAAAGAGCTTCTCTCAGAAACTGGAAGAAGGTTTGTTGTAGAGTGTAAGAGAAACCTTATTTTATTTCTTTGACATAATTTTTTGGCAAGGGTAGAAAGCATATGGTCTGCTTCCCAGAAGGAAGGAAGAGTCCGGGCTGGAAGGCAGTTCATGGCGCCTTATGTGAAATGTTGCAACGCATGGGTGCTAAAAGAGAAGTAATAGTAAAAAGGAAGATAAACAGTTCTAATAGTATGGTGAGCAATAATAAGCAAGAGACTCTTTTAGTGATAGTTGGGGCAGGTAAATATAGAATGGGAGTAAACATACAGAGAGGTGATTGGGAAAGTAAACTGATAGTTAAAGCTTCAGCTCACATTCTAGACTGGAGGAAAGTTGCAGATCTGTTAACAACAAGTTTAAAGTTGAAGAACACATTTATTTTAACACCTTTTGAGAAGGACAAGGCTTTGCTGGATCTGCTTGAGAATAGAGTAGAAGTTGAGGCATTAAATATCCAAGCTAAACTTGGAAACTTCACAGTATCAAGATGGTGTCTGGGATCAAGCTCCAAAGATTTCTCTATTGAAGATGGAGTGCTGGTGCGTCTCTTAGGCAAGAAACTGCTGAAGCCATTGCTTTGATGTGTGGAGGATCACTAGGAGGTGCTTTTTGGGGAGACCTTTATTCAACTTCCATTTTATTGAATGGAGTAAAACCTGAGGAGATTCCTCAGAAGATAGAGGTGCTAGTTGAAAGACAATGCTACTCAGTGTGGCTGGCTTCATCCATTGAATCGGTGCTCTGGAAAGAGGCTCGTAGGGAGGGAGATGAGAAGGTTGAAGAAGAAGAATTGCGTGGCAAGAAAGGGTTAGAGGATTCAAACAAGAAAAGCATTTTCACTAAAATGGAAAAACAAATGCTGGAGAAACAAAAGGGTAGCATTCAGGGGGTGGGATTTTCGCGTGTGGAAGCAGTGAACAGTCTGGAGGGTGGTAGGTCCTTTGTACAGGTTGTAATCGACGCCAATCTGACTTTTTTGAACAAGGAAAAGGGGTTGGTCCAAGGAAGAACCGAACCTAGACCTGATAAAACCAAACCGAGCCCGGGGTTGGACATGCGTGACCTTAAAAGTCACGTGAGCTTGCGGGTGTTTAAGAATGGGCCAAAGCAAAAGCCCATGCGGACTACTAGTGGTGTTATTAAAGGCCCAAACAGGTCAGCGGGCCCGACCCAGTTTGTTAAAAAGGCGTGTGAGCCTTTATTGAACCACGTGACTGGGGTTTCGACTAAGATAGACAACGTTAACGGTCTATCATCGTCCCCAGTTGCGAGATAGGGGGGAATGCGCGCAGTGCCGGAAACCAGAGAAGAAGCGGGCTTTACAGTGGGTTTCCCGATGAAGTCTGAAGGAGCTTAGCCCCTTGCGACGCTCCTCAGAGAGGCCGAATCCAAGTTTCGCTAGGGGAAGAACTGAAGAGAAGAAAGAGAAGATTGAAGGATGGGTGCAGTGCAGTGAAGGCGATGATGAATCAGAGGACCTTTCTGTTGATGGCACTAGCGTGGGCAGTGTAAACAACGAAGGTAGTTGTGATGGAGGTGGCATGGATGGGTGGAATATTGTAAGCTTATTTCAGGGTGAAGATTGCAATTAGCTTATCTCATTCCCAAGACCACAGAGTGTGCAAGGTTTATCAGAAGGGGCAAATCGGGAGAACCGGAAGCAGAGCAGGAACACGCCATCTAGGGGTGAACCAGGGGTAGAGTGGAAAGATCACCAGGTTGACCAAAGGACAGAAGTACTTCCCAACCAACTTAGGGAGATAAATGTTTACCAACTTCTAGAACAAGAGAGGGAGGCCGGGAGCAGTCCTTTTCTAGCTTGTCCATCAGTCCCAGGTAACCATGTGATTTCGGTTTGTGCTACTAATATGTCTCCTGTGTCTTTGGTTCCAGATTCTGTTTCTGTTCCAATATGCAGCCGAGCTAGTAGGCGGGCTCTCTGAGGAGGGGGAGAGGGGAAGGAAGGAATGTGGGAAGGTGCGGGAAAAAAAGGTATAGGAGTGGAAAAGTGTGGGAAATTATTGAAAGTGTTTAAGGAAGTGGAAGGGAAGCTGATCTGGAGGAGGGAAGGGGAGGAAGGAAGAGAGGAGGGATTAGTGGAGATGAGGGTAGAGATGGAGAGGATTACGGGGAGAGAGCAGGGAAGGAGGGAGGTAACATGAAAGGGAGGAAGGATGGAGAGGAAAGAACAGAGGTGGGACCAGAGGAGAGGAAGGAAGGGCAGGTGGATAGAG